GCTCCCGTCCTGGAAGTTGGGAGAGTGTAAAGGGGTTCCTGCGAGGTAACGCCGGGACGCCGGCAGCTCCCGTGTCCTCCCGTGTCCCTCCTTTCAGCACACACGTTGCCATCCGGAACGTGGCTCTGCGTTACACATCAGCAGGTGAACGTGCGCTTTAGAGCAACGTGAGTCGCTTCTCTGGTCCCCGGCAGCACGAGGACTCCGACATTTACGTTTGCCGCTTCCCTGCCAGTATGTGAAGAATTGTCCCCGGCCTTTTCTCCCAAAAGCTGCCAGTTTTTCCCATCTCTAACTTAAGGTTGCAGCAAAACTGCTGTTCAGTGTTGCACAGGAGTGGCCTGAGCCTTGCGGCTTTTCTCCTCGTCTTTTCATTAGCAATGGAAGTCGCGCGTCAGTAACGTGGGTTGAAACATAACGACGGCCCAGGTGTCCATTAGCACCAGTTAGGTCAGTGTTTGTGTGTAGGCACGGAATAAACCACTCCTGTGGGAGCTCTGATTCACCCTCCTGAAAGTTTAATTCCACAACTGAGGTCAGAGCTTTGACAAAAAAAAAGCAGCGTTAGCGTCTTTCTCGGTGCCAACTTCTTGCCGTGCCTCATGCATTACGGTAATTCATCCTGCAGCATGTAAACATCGGTCCAGTGCTGCCCTGCCGCGAGCAAATTACTTCCTTGTGCATTTGCACTTCCTTATGAAGAGCATCGTTGAAAGCAGGAGGGAGGAGCGGTGGGGATGGTCTGCGTTGTGTGAGCACAGGGTGAGCTCTGTCCCCCCCGTCACTAACTCGGGCTGTCCTCTTAACCCCGCAGATAATCCGCGTGCAGTCGCCGGAAGGAGTGAAGCGCATCACAGCCACGAAGCGAGAAACGGTGGCGACGTTCCTCAAGAAGGTACCCCGAGCCTCTGCTGCGCCTTCCCCGCTCGCCTGCGGGACGAGGCAGGGCTCCTGCAGCTCAGCCTGCGCCGTGGCTCTCTCTCGTGGGAGATGGGCGCTTCACCTCGCTGGGCAAACGTGTTGAGGGCAGCGAGGATTGGCGTGCCTTGCGGAAAACGGCATTTTTATTGGTGTAGCCAAAACCAGTTTTCTCATTGCTGTTCCAGAGGGAAAATAACAAAATTAAAGAAGAAAACTTACTCAGCTTTTCAGTTGGAGTTTCCCGGGGTGGGAGCTTTCCTGGGCGAAGGCACGTTTTCAGTGTTCTCCCAAAGAAGTGGCAGCTGGGGAGGCAGAGGCTGGCAATGGCAGGGGAAAGCTGTTTGATAGCCAAAGCCTGCTGCAAGGGACTGGCCTCTTCAGGCGTGATCCAGCTGAAACTCAGCTGCTTGATTTGCGGTTTGAATATCATTTGAATGTGCTGGTTTTCCAATATAGTTTTGGAGAGAGCAAGGAAGGAATTAAGGCAAGATCTTAAGGCGATGTGAGAGCCTCTGGGGTCTCCTGGGAAAGGTTTCCACCCTGGGATGAGGAGAACACACTGAGTGTTGGAGTTGTCAAATTTGGAGTTGGCTGTAGCTTGTTCTTTGGTCTGACGCAACTGCTCAATGTTTAAAGTTTGCTATTTAAGAGTGAGCAGTTCTCCGTTTCCTTCCCTCCTGGAACTCCGCTGTAACCTGGAACCCTCAGATTAGGATTTCTTTGCTTCATAAGAAAAGTACTTTGTGTTCCTGTGCCTGAAGGGCCATTCTTTTAGTCAGCTAGATTTCCTTTCCTCCTGCGAGGTGGAAGGGGAGCAGACTAAAACCTGCTGCTGCTTGTGAGTCATTTGCTTTGTTCGAAGCTTGGTCCCTGACCAAGCGAAAATCCTGATGGATTTCAGGACTGGGTCAGAGACACCCACTGCAGTCTCTGAACAGTCTTACCCAAGGAAAAAAGCGTTGCTTTCAAAACCTCTGGAACCTGTGCAAAACAAGCTGCTCGGTTTCAAGGGTTCATATTACCCGAGGCAGTGTGGAACAATCGTGCTTGCAACCACTTACCGTCAGAACAAAAGCATCGGCACTCACTAAAATTACCTGTTGATCTGGGGAAAACTATATCTTCTTGCTGAGCTGAATACAAGAAATGTTTGACTTTCTTTCCTGATATAGCGTTTACTTGAAAGAGAAAAGTTGCAAATTTTACCACCTAAGATCTATGTGTATTAATAGCTGTGGATTTTAACACTGAAATGTTAATCCATATGGTGGATTTCGTATTTAGCTAGATAGCTGTAATTAGAGGCATCAGATTGCTTCTTCCATGCTAGCGATTAACTTGGATCTCCTCCTTGGTGACTCCAGAGAAGCTGCAAAGGAAGAGTGCAAGAAAGCACATTTCAGAGCGATAAAGGGCCTCGATAATCTTTTCTGTCTTTTGTAGCACGTCCTAGGTAAGAGTACTAAAAAAGTAAACTCTCGGGTATGTTCAGGTTAGAATCGAGTTAGGAACTAACTCGAGCCTTTTGTTAATGTATTGTAGAATTTGTCTCCCCTCAAAAAATTGGTGAGGTCTATGGCCTGACGAGCTAACATTTAACTCTGGCAGGCGTAACGCAGGAGATGAACCATTTGAAAGTCGCGCTTCCATTCAAACGGCAGATCACTTGCTGCTACAAATCGCTGCGAAGCTGACGGGAGAGAAACTGCTTTCCATGACTTTGCTCATGTGACATGGCTTGATAGATTTGTCCTGTGTGCAGTCACTGTCTCTGAGCCCTACCAAAGCCACAGGGAGACGTACTTAATAAAAATAAAGGCTATTAACTTAAGAATTTAGGAAGAAACTTGTCATCTAGAGAAACTTTTAACACCACTTTTAAACTGATTATGTTTTTAAGTGGCCAAATGTGAAAATTGCTATTGCTGTGAAGAGGCATTTGACTGATTAAGAGTAAAGCAGCCTTAAACCGAACTGGTGAGAGGATGAGCAGGGAAAAAACCTGCGTGGGGACTGAGAGGTGGTTATTGTGAGGGTAAGTTCCGTCAGGAGAAAAGAGGCAAATGGAGAAAAACAGAAAGGAGAACAGTAGGAAGAGCTTGAGTGAAACTCTTGTAGCAACTGATAGGCGAGAGCGGAGCTGAGGGCAAGAGATCCTCGGAGGTGAAGATCTGGACCAAGGAATTCTGGTCATAGGAAGACGAGAATGACTTGGCTGGTGTGTGCTGGCAAGGCTGGAGTGAGAGAACTGGGATAATGGAGAAGATAGTTTCCCACCCTCTTCTAGTCATGACAGTGCTTGCCTGGATTTAGATAAAATACTGCATTTGTGTGGTGTGAGTGAGAGACACATTCTGTTTAAGTTGCTTTTTTTAATAGATTGCTAGTGTTACTAAGTGTTTCTATTTTTCTCAGTTATCCTGCGCTCTTCAGAAATGCAGATGAATTCAGCTAAAGTTTTGCAATAGAAGTTCCCTGGACTTACCGCTTGCTCTGAGCAGCTTTCAGCATCTGCCCAGGGGTGTGAGGTATCTTAAACCTTGTCATTCTTCTCTTTCTTTCAGGTTGCAAAAGAATTTGGTTTCAGGAATAATGGGTTTTCTGTCTACACCAATAGAAACAGGACAGGAGAGATCACAGCGTCACAAAACAAATCCCTCAACTTACTGAAAATCAAGTGAGTCCTGACCGAGAGCGCTGTGGCTGGAGGGGGGGCTTTGTACGACAGGGTGCCTCTTCTCTGAGCTTGCCTGAACTCTTCCCTCCGAACTGGGCAGCAGCAGGCAACCCCACGCTACAGCAGTCCTCAGCTTTCAGCTGTCACTCACCAACTACTTGAAGGGGCAAGCTTGATTGACGTGCTGAAATGGGGGCGATCAAATTGACTACGTGCGGACTGTGGCAGCCATTTCTTAGGTCGCTTCTTGCGTTGTGTTTGCTTGTTGTGGTGAGGCAGCAGCAGCCTCCTGTTTGCTCTTTTACAGCCTGCAGCAAGCTCCCTCATCCCCGCTTTCACTCACGTTACTCTTTTTTTCTGCATCAATGCCAGAGTCTGATAGTCCCCTGTGCAGAAGGGTTCCTGCCTTCTGTAGCCAGGCGCCTGGGGAGATCAGAGGTGCCAAATGGTGCGATCGCTTCATGTTTGGTTGGGAATGTCTTCATTCTGTTCATGTCAAGAATAATGTTAAACTGGTTAAAAATACAAGAGCTGTTACCACCGCGTGCAACTTGTCACTTGAATGTGTCAGCGCTGGCAGCTGCCTTGGGAAGGCTGTGACTTGATGTGCACAGGATCCGCACTAGTCCTTTTCCCTGCTGGAGCTGTTGCTTCTCTTTGTAGGCTCCTTTTGCCTTTTTCTTCATCTTTTTTCCTCCATTTTGTCTCCTGATGAAAAGATTTGCATTTGTTGTGCAAATGACCAAAGCAGCAGAAAGAGGTGGCTAATGGAATGGCTTCGGACTGCCACGTTTGCTAGTGTTTTTATCATTTGTTATAAGTTACACGCTCCTCTCTGGTCAGGGAGGTTTGGTACCCAGAAGTGTGCACTAAAGGCGTACGAACGTTAACGTGGTTTGTAACCTGCCACGAACCAGGCACAGGCATTTCCTACGCTGTATGGGTGCAAACGAGCCAATTCCTCCAGGCGGTCGGGATGACGGTCTGGTGTCGTTCAGTTGTTGGTGAAAGGGGATGGTGCGGAGGATGGACCTTGAGCCTTTCCATCTGTATGGGAGCAGCATGCGTCTTATTGCCCGGGTTCCCACCCCAGCATAGCTGGAAGCAAAGCTCATGCTCAGCTAATACCCCTGTGTTGTTTTTCCACACCTATAGGCATGGCGATATGCTGTTTCTCTACCCCTCGAGCCCAGCTGGCTCCTCCTCAGAGACCATGGACACCTCTGTCTCCCAAGGCTTGCGGCCTGTGGGGGCCCCCCAGGTGGTGGAAGATGAGATCGACCAGTATCTGATCAAACAGGATGGGAAGATTTACCGAAATCGAGACCAGCAGCTGTAAGTACGGGTGGACTTTGTTGCTGCATCTGTGCCTCACCAGAGCTTGTAACATCTTGCAGCCAGGAAGTGTGCTATGGGAACTGCCCTCTGCTCTATCCCTCACTGCCTTGGAAACGTTCACAAGGGAAAACAGCCTTTGCCATTGTCCTGGAAGGTTAAATCGAGCTCTGGTGAGCAGAGGAAGGAAGCAGATACCAAAATCCCAGGGTCTTTGCCAGGAAGGACTCATTCAGAGCATCTATTGTTCTGATCAAGGTGGCCCCTGCTATGGGACTTGTGATCGTATATTTTGCGTTCCTAAAACATTTGGAGCTCTCTAGATTAAAATGAATACTTTGAATTCTTCCCCGGGATGTCCTGGCAGCCGGTGCTGTGTAAAAATACTAGGTTATGCTCTGTGTGTGGCATATTGCTTAATAAGCTGGGGCCTGCTCTCTGCAGTAGCTTCTGTTCCATATGGTCTCAATATGTAGCTCCCCGTTGTTTGGGTCCCGAGGTGCGGGGCGGCAGGGCCAGGTCTCCATCTCTCAGGAGAGGCGCGGACGGGGAAACGCGCTTTCAGCCAGAGCTGCTGCCTCGGCATCACCCAGCCAGCAGTGGGTGAGCATCAAGGTCGGATTTGTTTTCTAAATCATGGGCGGCTCCTCTGTCAGAGTGGTGACCTGAGCTCTGTCGCCTTTTCTGGCTGCCGTGCAGTCTCTCCCTGCTTGGGCAGAGCCGACACAACCCTGCGTCGCTGTCTTCGGCACCACGATGGGTGCATGTGGCACCCCACCTAGCATGGTCCAAGCAGGAGCACTTCTATGTCTTCAGATCCAGCTACTCCTTATAAAGGAAAAACAAAGAAGTGAAGGGAAGACCAAAAAAGTGAGTGGAAGTATCCAATGGCAGAGACGTGGAAGTGGGACTTGGATCTCTGCCTGCTTGGTTTTTGGCTTCCTTTCCATCACGTGCCTTTCTAACCTTTCTGTGAAACCAGGGAGTCCATTTTGCTAACTGGAAGTCTAACTTTGCCAAAGCTCTTAGCTGCAAGAGGCTTAGGTAAACAAAGCAGCTTGTATTTTTTGTAAAAGTAGTAGTACAAGGGTGACTTAATACCACCATAAATCTACACTGGTGCTGCTAAAATGTCTGGATGGTTTTTATTGATCATCATTAACAACATCCCAGTTGGGTCCTGGCCTGATGTCTGTACTGGTTGTGGGCTTGGGGCTGGACCCCTCTGCAAAGTAACTTCTGAAAGGGCTTGCATGAAAATTTTAAAGGCAACCAGGAATTCTTTCTAAAACAGAATAGCTCGCCCTTCCCCATTGTGGTGTCTTCCAAATGGTTTATCTTTTGCGCCGCAGCAAGGAAGTTTGGAGAGACGTAGCCTTTACGTGGAAAATCCTATCTAACCTTTTCAGGCTGATGATAAATGAGGGAAATGTCACATTATTGAAACAATAAAGGCAAAACCCGCCACTCCATGGCAAAAACATTGTCTTTAACTTAACCACGTTTTTCAACAGAATAAATGAAGGTATTGTTCTTAGCAGGGAGCCAAAGCACAGCGGTGGATATTTATGATAAAAAGAGTGTGTCTGGGATTGTTCCTGTGTTTGTGAGTGCATATCAATCTAAACATGAAGGGATGCTGGCATTCGGCTGAGTGCATTAGCAGCCTTTAGTGGTCCTTTATGTACATTATCTGCCACAATACTTTGTTAAAAGCAATGCTGCAACTGGATCCCATCCATTTCATCTTTACAAGAGCCAACATCCATGCTCCTCTCTAGAGGCTTTCCTTTGAAAACTAGCACTGACCTAGTGCTGGGGCAGAGGTGTGGGGGGAATTTTTTTGTTGTTTCGGGTTTTTTAAAGTGATTGCCTCAAAAGGAGATGTTTTCCCCTCTGTTTTGTAACTTTACCCAGCAGGTCTTTATCTGTCTGATAAACAAACCCTGTTTGTTCCAGACCATCCTCTAGTGACTGATAAAGGATGAATGTTTTGGTTGTCTCTTTGTTAAAATCACCCAGGCCAACCCTGTGACATAGATATAAAATTCTTTGAATTGAAACGCAACCTCAACGCAGGGTTGTAAAACTTGAGAAACTGTGATCTGACATTGGTTCACGTGGCTGTTTAGAGAGCAGAGCTGCTTGCTAGTGACACAGACATTAGAAGGGTTTGATCTTGACCTGGGATTCTCAGATTTAACCTGAAGCTGTTGCTGTCTCTTTGTGTGAAATTATCTTGTGGTGACCCCTCTGTAATATTCCCTAGTGGGTGGAGAGTTGCTCAGAGCCGTATGATTGCACAGATCTTCCACACCAAAACTGTTAGTCTAGAGCAACTTCTACAGTCTGACTTTTCCATTACTAAATAAGATTTAACGCTACTTCTTTCTCTTTGCATAGGTGTCGCCACGGCCCCTTGGGTAAATGTGTGCATTGTGTACCGCTGGAGGTAAGAGCCCTGAGAAGGTGCTCTAGAAAGTCACACGAAAGCATGTCCTCTTGGATTTGGTTTCTTCCAGAATGAACACTTTTCCTCGGAGCACTGCCCACGTAGAGATGGCAGCTCTGGGTCAGAATCCTGCCATGCACTGTCAAAGGTGCCGGCTCGCATCCAGGATCAATAAAGCTCTAGGCCTTCGTGACCCTGGGTTTATTCTGGTTAATGCTCTGTTTTTCTGCAGTAATGGGTTTAACAGAAAGTGCTTTAGAAGAGCTCCAATTTTCCTCCCTCTTCACTTTTGCCTGGATCTTCTTGTTTCATCCCCTCTCTCGTGGATCCCAGCACTTCCCAGTTTAACCACGTATTATTCAGGTTGAAGGCAGCTTTAGTAACGCCTACAAATGTGCTAAGCTGTATAATTTATGGCATGAAGCAGTGATCCCTCAAAAGTCGCTGTGAGCCAGGATGGCTGTTCCCCCGCTTCCCTGCCGCGTGCTCTGGAAGTTCTTTGGCCTTGTTTGAGCAGCTGGGCTTTTTGTTTGTCATTAGATATTGAAAGGAAAAAGCATTTTGCCTTTGAGGCTCGTTCTGATTTGTGGAGCCAATCTGTTATAAAAGTAGGAGGCGATAATAAAACTGGCTGTTGTAAAGCCCCACTGTTTCTATCACAGTAGTAGCTGCCTTGAAAATGAGCCTAAGTTTTCTTGATTGTTTCCACATTGAGAGCGAGTGGGGTTGACTCTAGAACATCCATTTGTTTAGTGATCAATGTATTATCAGACAGGTGTCTGACCTGGCTTTTCTTTGTGTGGTGTTTTTGGCAGCCTTTTGATGAGGATTATTTAAACCATCTGGAACCTCCTGTGAAGCATATGTCCTTCCATGCCTACATCAGGAAGCTGACTGGAGGGGCAGACAAGTAAGAAAATCTCCGTGTTTAAGGGGATCTAGTTGTAGCTTCTTTTTTAAATACAAATGAAAGTACGGACAGATCTCACCAGAGTAGTGTTGGATACAACTATTGAATGGCAAACTAAGGAGAAAATAACACGTTTTAAAAAAAAAAAAAAAAAAGACAAGGAAAAAAATTAAGTCTTTTTCTTTTCTTCTTCTTTTTTTTTTTTTTTTTTTTTTTTTTTTTGCTGTGGCAATGTAATTGCTTCCAGGAGACACTACTGATGGGGGGAGAAGGTCAGATGGAAGGGAAAAAGTTCCCTAATTATACCAAGCTCCGAGCCTGGGTCTCAAACCTCGTGGAGAGGCACTGAGACTGTGGTGGGCCTGGGGAGCTTTTATTCACCAACAGCTTTTCATACCTACAAATGTGAATAGGACAGAAAGACGAGCCTGACATTCCTCAGAGCCTGATTCTGCTCTGTCCCATGTTCCATGTGTTCTTAGTGAAACCTTTTCTTGTCATGGTGCCGTGGTTCACTGCCCGGTAACTGGAAAATAAGGCGTCCTGCCCCATGATGGGGTGGAGGATGCTGTGGTGACACAGGCCAGATGAGTGCTGAGCAAAGAGGAAGCGCTGAAAGAAGTATTTATTTCTTTATGCCTTGCTGTGGCACACGTGTTCACCAAAGGATCTAAAGTCCCCTTCAGTGATGTCGGGGGACCCACTGTGTTCTGAAATGCAGCTCCTTTAAATAAGTTATGCAGAGGTGTAACCTTCTCCCTCCAATTCCTAGATGCCGTTGGGATTTTTTTTAATGTCTTTGTGAGATGCAGCTCAAGTCCGTAATATTTTCATTTGAAGGGAACTTCCCTTTGCAGGAAGCCTTGTGCACATGAAAGGAGCTCTAATTTGCCCTCGTGCTATAATCTATTGCTTCCCACGTGCCGCATAAATTATTTAAGTGGGGTCCTGTGAGTTTTCTGTCTCTGCTCTTGCTCAAGTATCTGCTTAGGAGCTGAGTCGGGGACCACGTGTTGGCCTCTTGACCTCCCTCGTTAAGTGGGCAGCAGAGATTGCTTGGGGACCGCAGGAGCGGAGCATCCCCCAGTGGGAGTTTGCAGGGCGCTTTGAGATCCTCTGAAGATGCAAAACATTGGTGCCATCATGTCTCCTCTGTCCTGCTTCCTCTATGATATTTCTAGCCACTTGCTTTTTTGGAGACCCAAAAGCATTTACCGTGGTAACAGCAGCCTTCTCTTTTCCTTCTTGCAGGGGGAAATTTGTTGCCCTGGAAAACATCAGCTGTAAGATCAAGTCGGGCTGTGAAGGGCACCCTCCTTGGCCAGAAGGCATTTGCACAAAGTGTCAGCCAAGTGCCATCACTCTGAATAGACAGGTGAGACGGAGCTCGCAGGAGCCCTTGTGCTTAAAGCTGAGAAGGGGCTTGACTTCTATTTTTGGAGAGATGACTTCAAGAACAGCCAATTTGGAGCAAGAAGCCTTTGCATATTGGCAGTTGCTGGAGAACTGGCTGTTAAGGTCTTCAGTCCTTGCAGAAAAGGACTCCAAAATGTATCTG